GGAGGGAAGGAGGATAGATGGAGAGGAGGGCAGCGCCACCTTGGCCGTGCCGCACCCCCCGTGCTTGCTGCGATGCATCCGGTTGCTGCCTGATGCAGAGCACTCTCCAGTTGGTCTGGCGGCAGCATTGCACCCCTTGTATCACTCACATGTGTGTACAGCTTCTCCACACCGCTGAAGCCAGTCGCCCGCTCGTGGTGCTCCTTGATCACTCGGGGCAGCTCCTCGAGCGGCACCACGGGGCACCACCGCCACTCTCCGCTGCGCTTGACGCAGCGGCACAGGATGTCCTGACCGCCAGCGCCCTTCAGCACCTGGAAGAACTGCAGCACCTTCTTGCTGTAGTTCTTGGCGCCGCCCTGCACTGCCGCCCCCCCTCCCGCACCCCGCCGCCGCCGGCCTGAGGGCGCCTGCTGGTCGCCCTGCTTGATCCGGATGATGCCCTCTACATCTGACTTAGTGAGAAACACATTCTTGGCGCCGTTTTGGCGCCGTTCTAAGGCATAAAGGATGACAGGTTGGTTCATAATTTTAAATTTGCGGCAGCTGCGGGGTGCGGGAGGGGAGAAATAGAAGCCTTAGAGACTCTGAAAGGCGAAGGAAAGGGAGGGATCGCGGGAGAGAGCGTGCCTGATGAGCCAGACGAATCGGGGGAGGTGCCACATCAGCGGGCAACACATGCTCGCGACCCAAAACATGACCCAACCCATCTCAGCTATGCAGCAGAGACATTGATCGACACTAAGTTCTTGCCCCAACTGCCCCAGCGCCTTCGACACACCTCAGACATGGTGGCCGCCAGCCTGCTCGCCGCCCCAGTGGCGCTGCCTTCCCAGCGCCTGAGGCAGCACAGCAACATGTGCGCAGTCTCGTGTGTGGCGCTGCCATCCACCTGGGGCTGGGGTGGGGCGCCACTGCCGCTCCCGCCCATGCGCGCGCACTGCCAGTCGCCAGTCGCGCCGACAGCTGCTTCCACTGCTTGTCACGCCTGCAGCCGGCGGGGCAGGTCCATGGTGGTGCGCGTCGACAACCGGCCGCTGCGGGAGTTCAACGAGAACGACGGCAAGCTGTCCACGTCGGGGGAGGCGGCGGCGGAGAAAGAGGCGCCGGGGGCGCTGTACGCTGATGAGAACCCGCCGGCAAGTGCATGGGCGTGACTGGGGGGCATGGGTTGCAGGCACGGGCATGCGTGCGTCACCCAGGTCGGCAGGGAGCTCGCGTGAGCAGGGCGCAGCCGTGCCCACCGCGCCGTTCCATTGCTTGTCCTGCCGCCCGCAGCCGCCTCGTGACACCATGAGCCCCGAGATGAAGGAGCGGCTGCGGCGGGAGTACTATGGGCTCGGTGGCTCGCCAAACAAGGTTGGGGCGGACTCATGGCATCGGGATGGCGTGAATTTGCTGCATTCCATCTCCACCGTTAGCTGCTCGCTGCTGATGCCTCGCTGCTGGCTTTTCCCCAACACCGCAGGCGATGGGAAGCAACTACTTTTTGTACATCATTCTTGGCATCTCGCTGCTTGCGGTGCTTTCCAAGCTCACCGGCGCCATCTGAAGCAGCCTGCGCCGCGGCGAGGGAGCGAGCGGGCTGGGGAAACAACCGCCGGAACGAGAGCGTGCGATTGAACTACCTCTATTGGCTATTTTCTTTCGATCATCCTGGACTTTGATTAGGCCTCTGATTTGATGCAGCGCTCCCATCGTGAGATGTGAATGCACCACCTTGCCGGCTGCAACGCAGAGCCGGTCTTTCGTCACACTGCCACACAATTTTGCTGCCCTCACCCCATTTTTGCAAACACCCATGTAACAAGAAAGATAGGGAGGACACAGCAGAGAATGGTGCCTCAATTATGTGAGGCGTTTGGCGTCCGGTGGCACCTGCGCCCGCCACCTGTCGTGCTTCCAGTTAGGTGATCTGTCCTCACCAAACGCGGAGTTCACACCAGTGCTGCGGTCTACTCTATCTAGCATCTCCTCTGTTCTGCAGTGAGGCTCTCTCCGCTCTCCCTGGCACTGAGGTGGGAGGTGTGTTGTGTGTGCTTGTGTTGTGCGCGCGGAGAGAGGAAGGGAGCGTTCGAGCCGCTGCGTCCCCTGGCTGGCGGCTGCTCCCGCCTCACGCGTGCCGGACTGTGCCCGCTGCACCGCCACCGGCTTGCCGCTACCCGCGCCCCCTGCTGTCTGCAGCCTGCCCACCGAATCCTCCTTGTACATGGGAGCAGGTTTAACGAAGGCTTCTCCGGCAGTGATGAGCGCAGCCAAGAGCCTGGTTGACAGCACCATCAACGGCAACAAGGTGAGGTCTCTAAACATCACCCATCTCCGCCCGGCCGGCACCGCTGCCAACCCTCGCTTGCGGCGCTCCCCTCCGCTCTCGCAGGTGGTCGTCTTCAGCAAGACATACTGCCCATACTGCACCAAAGCCAAGCGCGCGCTGCAGCAATTCCTGGATGCCAGCAAGATGACCGTCATCGAGCTGGATGCCCGCAGGTGGGCCGGGCCGCAGGATGGCAATGCACCCAGCCCTGCATTGCTCCCCAATGTCACGATGCGCCGGAACCCTCAACAAGCACGCGCAGGCGTCTTTTGGGCGACCAACGAGCACGCGCCGGAACCCCCAACCACCCAGAGCTCTGTGCTGCCGCCGCTGCAGCGACGGCTCCGCGGTGCAAGACTATCTGGCGCAGCTGACGGGCGGGCGCTCTGTGCCCCGCGTGTTCATTGAGGGTAGGTGGCCCAGCAGCCAGCAGAGCAGCCCGGCCTGCCACCAGCCAGCCCCCCACCCCGCCACCTGGTGTGCTCAGCTGCGGCACGCTCGTGCCCTGTACTTCCCTTCCTGCAGGCCAGTTCATTGGCGGCGGCGACGATACAGAGGTGAGCGTGCAGCGAGATGGGAGCAGCGTGGTTTCATGCTCGGCATTGATCGCTTTTGCAGCCCAGATCTTGCTTCAAGGCCTACCACATTGCGAAGCTTGCCACTGCATACATGTACTGCTGCCCCGCCACCGCCACATTTCCCTGATGCAGGCCCTGGCACGCTCGGGCAAGCTGGAAGTGATGCTGCGCAATGCGGGCGTGCTGTCGTGAGGCGGCACCATGCACTTCCTCCCACCATGCTGCCCACTGTTGCCTATTGTGTAAACCAGTTGCTGGTTGGTGCGCTTACACCGAGCGCTGAATTGGTTTGGGCGCATTTGGCGAACAAGAGCGCTAGCGCTAGCCTGCAAGGTACTCGCAGTGCCGCACAAATCATACGAAGCAGGAAGAGAGAAGGAAGTTGGGGAATCAATCCATCAGATCAAACCTTAGCTGCGCGCGGCACTGTGCATGAATGAGCGCATGGAGCAGCTGGGTGGGCAAAACAAAGTAGAGCTGTGGCAGGCAAAAGCCGCCGAGTCTGGGGGCTCTCTGGCTGAGTGACAACAAGAAGGCATGGGAGTTGCGCTTCCTGGGAAAGCCTGGAAAAGGCAGTGTCAGGGTGGGACGAGCCTAAACTGGGAAGCAAAGTGTTGTGCAGTGCCTCGGGGCAGCATGGGAGGAAAAAGCAGAAGGACAAGTTCGTCAATGCGTCAGTCGGGAAATAGGCAGCGTCGGCGGCGGGGTTCAGACGGGCAGGGTCAGACAACGCCATTTCTGAACCAACGCGCGGGCGGATGTATTGCCAAGTTTTGCCAACAAGTAAGAAAGCAGAAAAGACAGTGCGCCAGGAATGCGCCTACAAACCGCTCCTTACAAACTGGGCGGCAGGGCGGGCAAACTCGGGACGAATGCAGCGGTTAGGGGCTACCTACGGTCAATCATTCATTCCATGCCAGCAGAGCAGATGGAGGCTGCCACCTGCCGGCACGGTGTGCCGATGCGTTGAGCACATCAGGCTGTCACTCAGGCCAGCTACATGCAATGGTGCAAGGCTGCGCGGGTTGTAGCAGCCCAGCGCAGTAGGCCGCAAGCTGCTGCCATGGGTGGGAGCCGGCTACTGCTGCTGCGAGGCGCTGGCTGGCAACCCGCTTACGCCTGCAATCATGACATTGGCGCCAGGCAAGCTGCTGGCCGTCCATGGCGCCTCGGGGCCCGCGGCATCCCTGTCTGCCGCCGCCGCCGCAGAGGCCCCGCCAACAAAGCTGTGGCGCCCAGCCTCCACAGCGCCGCTGCTGGCAAGCTGCGGCAGCTGGCCAGCGAGAGGCTGCAGCCAGCTGTGGGAGTGCAGCAGCTGCTGCTGCTGCTGCCCCGGGACGGGCATGAACTGGCCAGGCAGGCCGGGGAGGCTCAGCTGCTGGCGGTAGGCCTGCTGCTGCTGCTGGGGCGGGTGGTGGTGCTGCTGCTGCTGGAGCAAGCCTCCCTGGAATCCCGGCTGCGCATGCCTGGGCCCGCCCAGCAGCACCGCGTGTATTACAGCAGGCTCCTGCTGCTGCTGCTGCTGCTGCTGCTGCTGCGCATACGGCTCAAAGCGGTCGGCAGATGGCGGCGTGCGCCTCCGGTTGCCCTGCGGCGTCGCCTGCGAGCCGCGCGCCGCCTGCTGCTGCTGCTGCTGGACTTGCGACACCGCAGACAGCAGCGCCTGGCACTCCCCGGGGCTGGCCAGGTACTCCCAGGGAGGGAAGTTTGTCTGCAGGGGAGCAGCAGCGGGGCAGCACAGGTTCAACACAGCGCAGATGGGCGAGCTGCCAGGCGCCAAACGTTTTTCGTAGACGCGCGCAACTGGCGACAGGGGCATGCGAGCAGCGGGCATGCGAGCAGCGGGCACGGCGGCTGGCCACGCTGCGCCGCACCCGCGCCCTCACGCCCTCCAGCAGCATTGAGTAGCGGTCGTACGCGCGCGCCGCCTCTGCCGCCGAGCCAAAGGGCCCTAGCTCGTAAGGCGAGCCACCTGCAGGCAGGCAGGCAGGCAGGCAGGCAGGCAGGCGAGAGGGCAGGCAGGCAGGCAGGCGTCAGCGCGCGGACGGCAGCAGAGCGCCGGCAGGGCTGGCTCAGCGCAGGCACCGCGGATGAGGCTGCCGGCTGCGGGCCCTGGCTTGGTGCGCACCCAAATCCAGCAGAGCCAGCCAGGCGCCGCTTCGGTTGACCACGCCACGGTAATCCGCCTCCTGCTGCTGCGGCGGCGGCGGCTGCTGATGGTGCTGCTGATGGTGCTGCTGCTGCTGGGCCGGCCGAGAGGCTTGCGCCGTGGCCGCCGCCCCTGCCGCATAAGCGTCCGGCAGCGCGGCGTTGAGCGGCGCCAGGAAGCCGGCGGCGAGGAGCGCGGCGCGGTCGTGCGCCCGCGCCGCCGCCTCCGCCGAGCCAAACTTGCCCAGGTCGAGGCTGCGGCGGGAGCAGGCGGACGGGCAGGTGAGCGACAGGCGTACCGGAGGCGGGCTGGGGACAGATGATGGGGACAGGTGAGCAGTAGGTGCACACAGGGTGCGTGGGGGTGCTGGGGCCAGCCAGCCTGCCTGCGGGCTCACCTCAGGAAGGCCTGCCACTGGTCGCCGCTGGCGCAGGCCAGGCGCCGCACGCCGGCAAACCCGGCCGACTCGTCCAGGCGGCTGCCCAGCGCGGCGTCAGAGGGGCTGTGGAAGACGCCCGGCGCGCCGCCGCCGCCGCCGCCGCCGCCGCTGTTGCTGCCGCCGTGCGGCTGCTGGTGCTGGTGCTGGTGGTGGGGCCGGGTGGCCGAGGGCTGGGCCAGGGGTGGCGCGTCGCCGCCCGACTCCTCCCCAAGCTTCTGCCGCTTGCAGCCCAGGCCCGCCATGGCCGGCGTGTGCAGCAGCGGGCCGCCGCCGCCGCCGCCGCTGGTCACGCCAGAGGGGCCGGCGGAGCCCTGCCGCTGCCAGCCGGGCTGCTGGCTGGCCGGGCCGGGCGCGCCGCCAGACAGAGGGTCAGAGGCCAGCCCTGACAGGCGGTCGGTGCTGCCGCCGCAGGCCAGGCGCGGGGCGGAGGGCGAGGCAGCGAGGCCGGCGGCCGCATCTGGGCCGAGGTAGTCTGCAGGGGGATGGAGGGGAGGCGTGTGCGTGTGTGTGTATGTGTGTGTTGTATCGGTGGTGGTGGCGGGGATTTAGAGGGCCACGGGAGGAGCCCCGCATGCACAGCAGGAGGCGCATGCAGGCATACGCGCGGCGGAGCCGCCCGGGCAAGGCAGGCTCCCCCGCAGGGCCCCCCCCCGCTGCCGGCGCGGGCCTTTGTGGCGGCGCGGCGCGGCGGGCTGGCGGGCGGCCGCACCCGACAGCGGGAAGTTGGTGATTGATCCGCGGCCCTTGAGTCGCAGTGCCTCGCGGTCGTGCGCCCGCGCCGCCTCCTCCGCTGCAGGCCGCGGCGCACGGGCGGGCGGGCGGGCTTTTGGAGCTGAGCATGGTGCATGCAGGGCGGGCAGGGCGCACCCGGCGCCTTACAAGCCTCCTCCTCTACACACACACACACACACACACGCGCGCGCACACACACACCCACAGCGCCACACACACGCACGCGCATACACACACATGCATACACAGCGGCACACGCCGCCACCAGCCAGCACCGCCACCAACATCACAGCTCCACTCCTGGCGCTCACCCGTGTCAAAGTCGGCGATGGGCAGCGTGGTCTGGGCCTGCCTGAGAGTGGCACGGTACCGCCCATTGGCCAGCTGCAGGCACGGCAGCAGCCAGGCAATGCACGTCGGGAAGGCGGCAGAAGCAGAGACGAGAAGCAGGCAGGGCAGGGCAGGGCAGGGCGGGGCGGGGACGGCTGGCTGCCAGTGGCCGCAGGCAGCTGTGGATGGCGGTCCGGCTGGGCAGGTGTGTGCCGGAGGGGCAGCGCCGCACCTTGGCCACGCCTCGGTACTGCGGCTCGCACGGCTGCCCGGGCGGCCTGCCCTCCTCCTCCGCCTGCTGCGCGGCCGCCGCCGCCGCCGCCTGCTGCTGCTGCCGCGCGGCCACCGCGGCCGCAGCCGCCGCCTGCTGCTGGCGGAACAGGGTGAGGCTGGCTGGGAAGTTGATGCGCGACAGCGCCTCGCTGGTCTCTCCATAGTAGTTGAGCGCCGCCAGGTCCCAGGCCTGGCCCGCGTCCTCCTCCCTCTCAAAATAGCCTGCGGCGGGGTCGCCAGGGAGCGGCGGGGGAGGCAGGGGCGGCTCGGGGAGCGGCGGTGGAGGCAGGGGCGGGCCAGGGAGCAGAGGTGGAGGCAGGGGCAGGCCCAGGGAGCGGCGGTGGAGGCGGTGGGCAGCAGCCGAAGCCGGCCGGGGGTGCGGGGCGGCCACGGCTGGAGGCTACGCGAGCGGGGTGGCAGGTGGTGGGCGCACAGGCGCGGCGCAGGGAGCGCGCCCGCCGCGCTGCACCTGCCGACGCTGCCAGTGGGCGTGGGCCGCCGGCGGCGGCGGCAGGAGGCTCCGGCCAGTGCCGCTGGCTCACCGATGTGCCGCGTCTTGTCGGTGTGCAGGCGGGCGCGCCACTTGCAGCCATGTCGGTCCCACACCACGCCCCTGCGGCAACGGTGCAGGCAGGGGCCGTGCGGTGTGGGCCGCGGCAGCAGCCTACAATGGGTGCGGCGGCAGGGGCGGCCCGGGCAACAGAGGCACAGCGCTGGAGGGCGCCGCCGCCGCCGCCGCCAAGCGCGGCGGGCCCAGGGCAAGCGCCCCCAGTGCATGCGCAGGCATGCAGGGCAGGAGGCCGCGTGCCCCGGCTGGCCGGCGGCGCAGCGCCCAGGCTGCTGGGCAGCCTGCCGGCGGCACTTGCCTGAAGCGAGACTTGCGGGGCTGGCTGAGCGGGGCCTTGCGGGAGGCGGCGGGCGCCTTGAGCCGCGACTCGGCGGCGCCGCTCTCATCGCCTTCGAGCGCCGTGCCACGGCCGCTGCCGGTGCCGCCTCCTCCTCCTCCTCCGCCGCCGCCGCCGACGGGGCCGCCGCCCCAGGCCTGCGTGCCTTCGGTGCTGCCCCCCACGTCTGTGTTGCTCATGATCTGGGGAGCAGACACCTCGTCCTGGTGAGCCTGCTGCCGCTGCTGCTGCTGCTGCTGCTGCTGCTGCTGCTGCTGCTGCTGGTGCTGGTGCTGCTGCTGGTGCTGCTGGCTGGGCTGCTGGGCGGCGTCCCGGTGCAGCGCGCCTGTGGGCGGCTGCAGCATGCCGGAGCTTGCGGGCGCCAGCTGGGCGGCGGCTGCAGCCGCGGCCGCCGCCGCGCCGCCGTCGCCGCCAAAGGGCCAGCCCAGCGACAGCCCGCCCAGCCCGGAGGCGCTGCCGGCCGCCGGCAGGGAGAACTGGTGCAGGTGCTGGGAGGCTGCCATGGCTGCCATGGCGCCCTCTTGCTGGTGGTGCATGAAGGGCAGGGTGAGGTAAGCACCGGGCATCGCCGCCGTGCTGCCGCTGCCGGCGCCGCCGCTGGGGAAGCTGGTCAGCGGCAGCAGCGGCGACTGCATGCCCATGCTGAGCGGCGGCAGCTGCAGCTGCATCGGCGGCGGCGGCAGCTGCATGTGCATCAGGCCAGCCAGGGAGGGGCTAGCGCTGACGGGCAGCACGCCGCCTCCGCCAGCGCCGTCGGCGGCCGGTACGAGCCGGCCGGAAGGGGCGGCGGCGCCGCTACACTCGTCCAGGCCTGTGGGCATCGTGGAACCCGTGGGGAAGCCCCAGACGGCCCCCCTGCTCAGCCTGCAGCGCGGCAGGGCCTCCACACAGCCCGTCAGGTGCAAGCAACGAGGCGTACCCGAGTTGGGCACAATGGGGTTGCCCTCCTCCCCGTGATCACCGCCCCGCCAATCCCCTGATTACGGAAACGGCCCAGGCGAGGCGCCCAGCCAGCTGCGAGCACCGTGGCCTCCACCAGAAGGGGTGCAGCGGCGCCAGGGCACCGCCATGCGCCATTGTGCAAGCCCAGCCGCCCTCTCAGGCATGCTCACATCCCCTGCATGCCATGAATCATTGGGAGACTGCCTGTAGAAGACTCACCACGGGGCTAGCTAGGGTTGGGCCTCTGGAGAGTGCAGCATGAGGGCAGACACGAGCCTACTGAGGCCGGTATGCTGCCTGGGCCTGGCTTGCTGGCGATGGCCGCAGAGGGCGGGCCACGCGCCACCCCCAGGTGGACGATACTGTTGGCGGGAAGCAAATTGTGGGGAGATTTGAGAGGAGGGCAGATTTGAGGAGGAGAGAGAGCAGGGAATGATGCTCAGGGGTGGGGTTGCGGAGAGATCCAGTGCCCCTGAGCCCCTGCTAGGCGTGCTGTGTTGATTGACACGTGCATTCATATTCGCCGCTGCTCCACCTGAGCTTTACTGATTGGAGGCTGAAACACGAATGCATGCATTCATGGCGCGTTGTACAGATGTGGAGCATTGGGGGCTTGAGTCCCTGGCCGTGCATGCATGCTGGAACAAGGCGGCAGTCGGCAGGGAGCAAGTGTGTGGACCACTCATTTTCCACCGCCGGCAGGCACACAGTGCGGGCACCCCGTCCAGGCATGAATGAAGGAATAGTAGGCCTCCTCCCAATGGCCCCACACAAACCTCTATATTGATGAGAAGATAGCGCTGGCATTGTTCCAGATGCCAGCAGCCGGCGCACCGCCAGCAGCACCCTGGCATGCCAGCAAAGACGCAGAGCCACGTACTGGCATGTGGCTTTGAGGGCACACATCTTAGCAGCAACTGACCGTTCAAGTCAAACACTGGCTGTCACATAACCGGATGGTTGCATTCCGCACATTCACTGATCAAGGGGCAAGGCCATCAGGCGGGGCAGCACAGCACGGCCAGACCCCCGCCCCCTGCCGCCCCCCGTGGCAGCATCCAACGAAGCGGCGGGCCAGCTGCTACCGCCTCCTGCAGCTGCAAAGCCAGTGCCGCAGCTGCCATCAACAGTGCAGCCTCCTGCCTTGGGCTTGCGCAGCGGCGGCAGGCTCAGCTCTGTGTGGTCGGTGCTGCCGCCGCATCGGCTGCCCCCAGATTTCGCTGGGCGGGACCTACTGGTGCCAGCCTCCACGCTGTGAAGGGTCTGGAACTTGTGCAGCCGCCGCTGCGGGTCTCGCATCTGCTGCTGCAGCTCCCGGCGCCGCGCCCCTGCTTGCCGCCGCTGCCGCATGGAAGCAAATGCGGCTGCGGTGGCCGCATCGGCAAACTCCCAGTCGCTTTGTTCCTCGCCCTGCTGCGCCCGCAGCGCCTGCTGCGACGTTCCGCTGCAAGCCTGCCGCTCGAGGGCCTCTGGCGGGCTGCTGCAGTGTGCACCACACACAGGAGACCAGGCCTCCAGGTTAGAGAGCAGTTCCTCGGGGGCCCCAAACACCTCGCTGGCACCTGCCTCCAGCAGCGCACCCAGCCCCAACAAAGAGCCTGACTGCTCCAGCTCCAGGCTGTCGCTGCTGCTGCGCTGGCCTTGCCGCGCGTTCTGGCTCTGCTGAAGCAAGGCCTGGCGTGCACGGGCCAGTAAGCGACGCACACGCCAGCCACGCCACGCTGCCTGCAGCAGCGCAGGAGGACGAAGGCAGCAAGGTTGAAAGGAGCGATGGGGTTGCACGGCGGTTCCAGCAGCATCTGCCTTCTTGCCTGGATGCGAACAGCCCCACAGCTCTGCTCGTGCTGCAGCACCAGCTGCTGGGCCTCGCGCCACTGATGCCGCCAGATGACCAGCCGGTGCTGCACCCAGCGACAGCGCAGGTTCCTGCAGGCCCAGCCGCGCCATGCCGCCTCGATGCAGGCAGCAGCAGCCGCCCGCCTGCTTGCTTGCCGCTCCTCGGCGAGCTGCAGCCGAAGACGGCGTGCAGCATGGCACCGCCAAGCACACTGTATGGCAGTGGCTGAGGTGTGTAGCCGGCCCAGCGCACCCTGGTAGTGGGAAGGGTTGAGAAGCGGCAGATGCTGGGCAGCTTCTGGCCCTGCTGCCGCCAAAAGCAGGTACCGCTGCTGGACCTGCTGCAATGACAATAGCGTGCTGCTGCTGCTGCTGCTGCTGCTGCTGCTGCTGCTGCTGCTGCTGCCGCTGCCGCCCTGCTGCTTCGGCTCGAGTCCAGGCATGGTGCCTTGGTCCGCGCACGATGCCTGCCGCAATGCATCCAGTGCTGCCGCCAGCTCTGCTGCCTCGGGGGCAGCACCTGGAGTGTGCTGCTCCAAGCCTCCTTCTGCCGCTTGGCACTGGGGCAGGTCCGCAGCTGCCGCCAGTACCTGCTGCTGCCGCCACGACTGATGCGCCAGCTCAGCAGCGCCCAAGTGGCCGAGGATCCACATCAATGTCTGCGCCTCCCACACATCAGCGTCTTGCCCTCTCAACGCTGCTCCTCTTGTTGTGGCGACGCTGTGCCGCCCTGCTGCAACCGGCATGTGCTGCCGCCGCTCACTCGATTGGCCCACCTGCTGCTCATCCAGCTCCTCTAGCAGCGGCAGCATTCTAAAGACTGCATCGCTGTAACCAGTTCCTGGAGGCTGTCCCTGCTGCTGCTGCTGCTGCTGTCCAGGATCCCAGCCTGCCGCCAGAGGGTTGTCCTTCAGCCGCAGCCGCTGCAGGCAGCCGCCAAGTGGCTCCAGACTGGCAAGCACCATGCCCAGGCTTGCAAGCTGGTTGGACGACAGATCAAGCACCTGCAGCGACACAAAGCCCTGCAGGAGCGAGCACAGGCATTGCAAAATGGTCAATGCATTGGACAAAAATACCCTCCAGCGTTCATTATTGTTGCCTGGTGACATGCTGGTCAATTCATCTTCCAGGCAGCTTGCCTGCATGGGTGCCAGGCTCGTCAGCGAGCAGTCCTCGAGATGTAGCTCCCGCAGGCAGGGGAGCCAGGGCCAGCCACGGCCCACCTCTGCCAGCGGGTTGCTCCCCAGCCACAACTCGCGGAGGAAGGGGAGGTGCATGGTGGGCGGAAGGCTGGTGAGGGCGTTGCGGGAGGCGACCAGAACCTGCAGCAGCGGGGCCGCCTCTGCCAGGCCTTCCAGGCTGGCAAGGGCATTGCCGCCAGCGTGGAAGTGCAGCAGACTGGGCAGCAGCCCCATCCAGCTTGAAATGTCGGTCAGCCGGTTGCCCGAGACACGCAGACACGTGAGGTGGGCGCCGCAGGCTGCCAGGTCAGCAGCGGCAAGGGCCGCAGAAGAGAGATGGTTGGCTGAAAGGTCGATGTTGCGCAGTGCTGTCAAGCCTGCACAAGCACAGCAGTCAGCACACAGCAGTGCATTAGACCAGGCAGAGCAGGTGTTTCCATACGCTTCAATGGACAGCACACACTCCTCGCTCGCCTGCCAGGCTGGGGAGGTGCTCCAGCCGGTTGTTTGATGCATTCAGCATGGTGAGGCTAGCCAAGCACTGGATGCCGTGAAGACTGGTGAGCTGGTTGGCCCCCACCCGCAGCTCTTGCAGGCCCTGGAGTGCTGACAGGGCTTCCAGGCTGCAGCACACAGTCACAGGCCACGGCTGGGTGACATGATTGGCACAAGATGGGGTCCACACATATTAGGCCTGCAGCCGCCAGCCCTTCCAGCAGCCCAGCGGGCTGGAAGCACAGTTCTCACCTGGTGATGGCGTTGCGGCTCAGGTTGAGGCTGACCACAGGTGAGTTTCCTGCCGGCAGCTCCATAACGCTCAGGCCCTGCATGCTGAGATCCAGCATGCAGCAGGACTCGTGCTGCTGCTGAGCACCCTCGACGCACAGTCCGACTGCCATCCGCTGCGCAGCACCCTCCACCAGGGGAAGCCGGTCGTGCTGCATGGCCTGCCACTCCCGGAAGCATGCCAGCAGGCGCCCCACTGGCTCAGGACAGGCCCCCCAATTGCCCTGGGCACTGTCGCCAGCCTGCCCTCCCGGCTCCAGCTTGCTGATGCTCTCTGCTGCTGTGCTCGCATGTGCGGTGCCGTCCTGGCCGCCGACTTCGCCAGCACTGCAAGCCTGCTGCAGGGGGGTGATGACAACCTGAGTGGCCGCCTCGAGTGCCTCCAGGTGGCCCTTCAAGGCGGCAACTGCCTGGGCGACAGGTGCCGCCAGCTCCAGCTCAGCTGCCCAGCTGGCGTCCTCCAGCCAGCCTCTTAGCTCTGGTGGCCATGCTGCACAGGCTGCTGGAGGTTGCAGCAAGGCTGCCTCGGTACCTAGCTCTGAGATGGCGGCCGCAAGGTGCTGTGTGGTGCTGACCCAGCTTTCCAGCTGATGGCTACCAAGGCCAGCTGGCCTAGCACATGGGCTGTCGTGCAGGATGGCATACTCGCACACACACCGCGTGCTAGCAGCCAGCTGCTCCAACGCCTCCTGCCGCCGCCTCTGAACCTGCTCTTCTGCAGCGCCTACTGCGGCACGCAAGCCGAGCATCAAGGCACCCTCGCATCGCCTCCTCACTGCTGCCAGGTTGCCCCGGCATGCCGCCTCGTGCAGGCGCTGATCCGCCTCCTGCTGCCTCTGGCGCAGCTGCTCCTTGCATGCCTGCCGCATGGCTGTGCTGACGTTTAGTCTCTCCGCCGCGGCCACCGCTGCAGTGTACTGCTTCAGGGAGCCATGGTGGGCTGCCTGGCGTAGCTCCTCAAGCGCTGTGGCCTGCCGCTGCTCCAGCCGAGCATGGGCTGCCTCTGCCTCAGATCCCAGCCCCAGCTGTTCGCCATCCGCGCATGCCGCCTCCACTTCACCCGCACCACCGTGCGTGGCAAGCTCCCGCAAGCGAGCCGCCAACCGGTGGCGCCGCAGCTGCAGTTCGCGCTGTGCCCGAGCTACATCGGCATGCAGCCCCCACTCCTGTGCTTGCTGCAGGCTACTGTTGTACGCAAGCGCATCAAAGGGAGCTGCATCCACAGACGCCTGCAGCACAGCCGAGGCCTGCTGGTTGCGCTGCGCTATCCGCTGCTCAGCCCGGGCAAGCAGGGAGGCGCCCACCCCAAGCGCCGCAGCTGCTGCCACTGCATCTTTGAACTGGCTGAGTGGTCCTCCTGCAGCAGGGCAAGCATGGGCTGGCATTCATGTCCCATGCATAGTTGTTGTACGAGGTTTGTGCTACCAGGCGACAGCTGCAGGCGAGCTACCTTCCAAAGCAGAATTGACGGCTTGCTCTGCTGCCGCCACGCGGGCCTCAAACACGCCAGCTGCCTCTTGCAGCACGACGCCCAGATCGCTGTATTGTGCTGCAGCGGCTGCAGCAGCCTGGTAGCCGGCAATACCGCTGTTGGCGGCAGCCGTGCGCAGCGCCTGGGCTGCCTCTGCCGCTCGCTGTTCCAGTGCAGCCAACAGCTGGCCCGCCGCTGCACCAAAGCCGAGGGTGCCCAGCTGTGCAGCTGCCTCCCGTGCCAGCTGCTGCTCCCCACTGTCCACAGCAGCCTGAAGCTCAGCCAGCAGCGCTCGCCGCTGGCGCGACCGGTGCAGCAGGATGGCTGTGAGACGGCGAGACACATAGCCACGCCAGGAGGCCTGCAGGCGGGTGGCGGCAGCCACATGGCGCAACCTGCCGGGGCTGCGCAGGAAGCGTCGCCAGCCCTGCCCTATGCGCCCTGCAATGTGCACGGGCACATGCTCATCCATGGATGCATTGACGAGCAGCTAAGGCTGGCAAGGCGGTGCTGCGGGGCTTGGCAGCAACAAGGCAGCCAAGCTCACATGCCGCCATGTGCTGTGTGGCGAATTCCAGCTGGATGTCCTGCAGCTGGGCCTCCCGCTCAAGGCGCAACCGCTCCCGCTCGGCTGCGGCCGCCGCTTGGCGGATCAAGAGGGCATCCAGCTCGCCGCGCTGGATCTGTGGGGACAGGGAGTTGAGGAGGCACCAGGCAGTTGAGTTGGCTGCCCTCGGTGCGCCACCACTCATCTTGAAGGGCGCAAACACAGCAGGCACGCCCCAGCCGACATGCGTCATCCAATAGTGTCTCTTGAGCGGGTGCTGCTCCTCACGTCTGCGTCTTGCAGGGCTGCGGCAGCATTCTGGAGGTCCTCGGCACGCAGCTGGCCCTCTGTGCGCGCCGCCTCGCGCCCAAGGCTGCTGTGAATGGCGATGAGGCGGCGGGCCGTAGGCGGCACGCTGGCATCAGACAGCACCTCTGCTACTGCCCTGGAGCTGCCCTCGGCTGCAGGCTGTGTGGCCGCGCCGGGCAGAGGAAACTCAGGCGCCCAGCCCGCAATCTGACCACCGCGCTCGCTGCCTTGTCCGAGCGATGGCGCTGCAATGGCCGGCCCTGCCCCATCAATTGTGGCCTCTAGCACTGCGCCACGCTGCTGCAGCAGGTCTCGCAGGGCCTGGACTGCGCTGCGTTGAGGCAGCACGCGGGCCTCACAATCGGCCTCGCCCTCCGAGGAGGTGGCGGCAGGCGACCGCCACCCTGCCGCCCGCCGCCGCTCGGCCAGCCGGTTGAGCCGGTCGGCCAGCGACTCGTCTGGCGCGTCCTGAAGATCTTCTGGGTCCATCTGTGCCCGTGAACGGCACTCCTGCAGCCCGCCAGTGGCTCCGCCAGAGCCGGTCAGCGCGTGCGCGCCCACCCCATGGCCCCTATCAATTCTATCTGCATTTGACTGCGCACAGAAGCTCTGACACACGGCACCAGAACATTAAATTGGTGGCATTGGGCAGTCCGACGTGGTGGCTCGTCCTGCAGCTTTAGAGGGGGCCTGCTCCAGATTTCGCTGCCAAAGTTCGCTTTCGTAGGTTGGCAGCCGAGGCCTACCTCACAGGCACCGCCACTGCCGGCGCACCCATCGAAAGACCAGGCGCCATGGGTCTTGCACTCGCCGTCTTTGCTCGGTGGATTGAGGATCGATGTAGCAAAGCGACGAGGCACGCGGTGGCCCCTGCCAAGGGCGACTCTGCTCTTCTGGAGCTCCTGTCAATTGGCCTTCTGGAGCAGGTGGCTGCCAACCTGCAACCCGAGGACAGGTGCGGCACCGCCAGATGTGGTGCTGGATGCAGTGGGCCGGAGCAACAAGGCAACAGCAGCGGCGCCGCCGCTGCCACCTGAGCTGCTCTTTTCGCCGCCCACGTGGGTGCAGGCGCAACTTGGCGCTGGCCTGCAGTGCGCTGCTAGCCGCCGTGCGGCCCACCTGGCGCACCGTCCTGCTGGACATGGCAGCGCCGGATGCGACCAGCCCACCACCGGGCTTGCAGTCCTGGAGCGGCGTGCGGCGTGTGGTGCTCAGCTGGGACCTGCTAGGCGTCGGTGCTGCGGATCCGTGGGATGCGTCCCCTTCCACCGCACACAGCATAGGCACCTCACCTGACTTCAGCTCAGCAGTGCTGCACCCTGAGCTGCCGACGGCGCTGAGCCGCGTGGTGCAGCTGCTGCGCCCGGCACCCGCTGTCGCAGCCAGCACCGGCCAGCGCAGCCGGCCCAGCCACCCCCCGCTCCAGCTCACGTGCCTGCTGCCAGAGACGCGGCTGTCGGCGCTGGGCGCCGTGCTGGCCCTGTGCGGCCAGCCCGACGACTCCTCTGGCGGTGACAGCGGCGACAGCGGCGGCAGCGCTGACAGCGGCAACAGGGCAAAGGCCAGCAGGATGCTCGCCACGCAGCGTGTGTCAGCAGAGATGCTGCAGCCGCTGCTGGCTGAGGCGGGGCTGCCAGGGGCGGCGCAGATGGGCATGCACGTGCATGTGCATGTGCAGATGGCGGGCGGGCAGCCACGGATCACCCCGGGGCGCCCTTTCGACCGCCTGGAGGTGTGGGGGGCGCAGCAGCTGGATGACTGCTCCTGCGCAGAGTTGCTCACAGCCTGCAGCACAACGTGGACCGTCCTGGATGAGCAGCTGGGCATGAGGCCTGCACCCCAGCTTGGCGGCTATAGCCGCCTCACGCACCTGCGCCTCACAGGTGCGCCAAGCCTGTCACCAGCGGGCATCACGCTTCATGGCCATGCACTGCACAGTGGGGGGTCGCTGCCTGCCTCACCCCCCCCTGCATACCTGCCTGCCTGCCCGGCACCACCCTGCCTTGCAGTTCCCGGCTCCTCGCCTGCCGTGAGCGCCGCCGAGGAGTCGAGGCGCTTCAGCGCCTTCCTGGCTGCACAGCTGCCGCTGCTGCCACGGCTGGAGCACCTGCAGCTGGGCCGGCCCTGCACCTCTGCCTGGATCAGCGCGGACCCTTTCCAAATCGAGTTGGGGGAGGTGGAGCTTCCCGGGCTGTGATCGCTGTCTTTGAACCAACGGGTGAGGCTGGGGGCTTTCAGCGCCGATCGGCAGTGCCCGCTAAGAAAGCCTCCCGGCTGGATTTACATACCGGTAGCCTGGGTACCCAGCAAGTTCCGAACTTAAGAGTGAGTCATTCTCAAGGCGCTTGCTCCCCAGTCCAGGTGTGCATCAACTCATTTGAGAGCCTGGTGCACTTGGCGAGCCTGGAGAAGCTCAGCATTTGTTTCCCAGGTGATCTGTGGCTGATTGTTGCCCTCGTAGCCCTGGTGACGCCGCCAGCGGGTGTGCGGCACAGTCCTCATCTTGGCAGCTGCCGTATGCTTGCAGAGAGGAGCATCGCCGTCCAGCCCAGCAGCGTGGGGGTGCTGGCCTGTCTGCCCTCCCTGCGCTGCCTGGTGCTGGGCAACTGGCAGCCGATGCAGCCTGACACCGGCCTGGGAGCACTGAAGCAGCTGGTAGCGCTGCACCTCCCCGAGTTCAGCCCGCCACCAGGCTTCAGCATCGGCGGTAAGGATGCCCTCATGCGCAGGCAAGCGGGGTGACATGCCGGGCGGCACCTTGCACTGCTCTAATGGCACATGCGCTGCACTGCTGCCTGCAGGCCGGCTGCCCAGCCTGCGCACCGCCAGCATCCTGTGCTCCGAGGACAAATGGTTTGCCTTCTTCATCAATGGCGGCCCTGTCTTGGAGTGGGGCAGGCGCGTGCCTTGGACGGCGCCGCTCGACTTTCCTGCCATAGAGGTGAGCAGGGTGGCTGGCCTGGCCCTGAATGCCTCGGCTGGCCCTTGCTGCAGCGCTGCTAGCATGGGTGTTCCCCCTCGCACCACCTGCAGAGCATGCATCTGCGCCTACCTCGCAAGCAGTTCCTCAACCTGCTGGACAGCGGGACGGGATCCCTGTCGTGCTCGCTGAAAGCATATGGACCGGCGTGCACTGCGGTGCGCATTATACAGCTGGACGATGCAGTGAAGCAGATAGATGCTGCGGTCCTGCCCCTGCTAGGCGGGGCGACCAGGTGGGCTGTGGCTGGCTGCACTGAGGGAGCATCCAACCTGGTACCAGGACGGGAAAGATGCTGCATGACAGGCAAGCGCAGCATTGATTCAACCTTTGCAGGCTCACGACGCTGGCTATCGATGTGCGGCTGCTGATCAGCATGCGTGAGGTGGATGCCACCGACGGTGAGGCCGGGCTTGGGCTGCACTTTCCTCATGTGTCCACAGGGTAGTCTGAGATTCAGGTATGTTGCATCTATCTGGCATGTTGCGGCTTGTGGTACACCTCCCTACCCTCTTCCGTATCCTCGCAGCTGCGGATCTGGCAGAGGCCATCGCGGCAGACGCGGCAGCCGGTGCCTTGGTGCCGCTGCCAAGGGATGCCTGCCTGGGCACGCTGTTCAATGGCAGCTGGCACCGCCGCGCAAGCCTGGTGCCGGTGGAGTCTGCCAGCTTGCTGGGAACAGCCAGTGCTGCCCATACAGCGCCACTGACCCGCCTGACGTATGGCCGGGTGAGCGGCGGGGGAACAGGCCTTAGGGGATGACTGCGTCACACAGACGCTTCATCAGCAAGTACATTTAGTTCAGCTGTGTGTCCTTCTTGCCACTGCAATGTAAGCTGCTCTGATATCCCCTGGCCTGCCGCTCGCCGCCCGCCGCCAGCTCAGGCATCTGAGATAAATGTAGTCCATCAACCGCCAATTCTGAACACATCATGGCTGCTGCATACGCCTGCTCAGCGTGCCATCGGCTGGCCCGCGGGTGCGCTCCCTGCGGGTGGCAATCTCCGCGCACACCAGCAGGTCGGCGCTCCCCTCGCTCCTACGTAACCTCGGCAATCAGTGCGCAGCTGCTGCTGGATGCCCCGACGGTGCAGGCCTCGACCGCTCTGGCAGCAGCGGCGGCGGGTCCAGCCGCCGCCGCTTCCGCCGCTCAGCCGCTGTTCCAGCTGTCGGCGGCGGGCCTGTTTGAGCTTGTCAACCAAGCCAACGACCTGGTAGCCCAGCAGCTCACCGGACTGACGCCCATCAGCTTTGCCATCGTGCTGGGGGCCGGCCTGCTGACGAGCCTGTCGCCCTGCACCCTCAGCGTGCTGCCACTCACCATTGGCTACATTGGAGGCTACTCTGGCGGCAGCAGCGGCAGCAGCAGCAGCAGCAGCAGCAGCGGCGGCGGCGGCGGCAGCAGTAGCAGCGGGTCTGACAGCAGCCTGCTGCTAAGGGCGGGGGCATTCTCAGCCGGGCTGGCCACCACCCTGGCGGCGCTGGGGGTGGCGTCATCACTCCTCGGCGGCGCATACGGCCAGGTGCTGCGAGGCCGCTTGGGCCCACTTGGTCTCTGTTGGGCTGCAGCCCTCGCCAGCACCACATCCCTGTCTGCTGCGCCCACGCACCCACCCCACCCAGCTCCCCCTGCCAACGCGTCTGCCTCCCCGCCTGCCTGCCTGCCTGCCTGCCTGCTTGTGTTTGTGTGCAGATTGGGGACGGGCTGCCTATCGCGGTCAGCGTGGTGGCTGTGGCCATGGGTTTGAACCTGCTGGAGGTCCTGCCGCTGCGCCTGCCCTCCCTGGACCTGGATGTGCGGCAGCTGGCGGTACCGCCCGCGGTACAGGCCTACCTGGCAGGTGGGCTACGCCACACCCCACCTACTGCTCCTGCAGCATAGCAGCTAAGACCCAACGAGCACACAGCACTGCACTGTTTGATGCCACGCCGGATGGGCAGGTCCAGCAGCTGACATGAGATGCTGGTGCAGGCTGCGCTGTGCTCAGGCCTGCGTGCCTTGCACGGGCGCTGCGACACGGTCCTGCGGCCCCCCGCCCCCTGCAGGCATGACCTTTGCCCTGGCGGCCAGCCCCTGCAGCACACCCATCCTGGCCACCCTGCTGGCCTATGTCAGCACCACCAGGGACCCAGTGACCGGTGAGGCGGGCGCACGGGCTGGGCTGCTGCGTGCACCCCTCCTCAGGAAGGGACGCGTGGCGGGCAAAGCTCGTGCACAAGCCTCCTTCACACCGCGCTGCCCACCCACCTGCCCTCCCGCCTGCTGCAGGCGGCGCGCTGCTGTTTGCCTACACGCTGGGCTACGTGGCGCCGCTGCTGGCAGCCGCGCTGTTCACAGGAGCCCTGCAGCGCATCCTGTCGGTGCGCCAGTGGAGCGCGTGGATCATGCCGGCCAGCGGCGTGCTGCTGCTGGCCGGGGGGACCTACGGCCTGCTCACGCGTCTGGTCCCAGCCTGATCGCTGGGCCAGCCGCCGGCCAGTGTGTCCGCTGGAGCAGCACTATTACACGTGTTTGGCTGTACGGCGGCATTCCTGGATGTTGGTTTTTGGCATTGGGTTCCTGGCTGAGATGTAATCAAATGTAATCAAATAAAGAAGATGTCTCATTGTACTGAAAGAACATAACAAAAGGTGTGGCGCCCAGGAGTGGCAGTATCTCTGTTCAGCGGTTCAGCTGCCTTGAGGCCATCAGCTCGCAGTGGTGGCTCCAGAACCTTCAGCCTTGACACCTGCTGCTAGCTCAGGGATGGGAGGTGCTGGCACGATGGCTGTTGTCTGCTCACTAGCAACAGTCGCATCTGCTGCTGGAGCTGCGCAGGCCTGGTCGGCGCCAGCCTCGCCGGTGCTGCCAGCTCGGTCCGCTACGGCAGCAGCTGGCTGCGGAGCTGTCAGGCTGCTCTTCATGGGCTCTGCCACTGCCGCGGATGCTGCTGCTGCTGCTGCTGACGGCTGCTGTGAGATTGGTGGAGGGGTCGCTGCCTGCACCGCTGCCGGCGCCAGCCCAGCCCCCGTTCCAGCTGCAATGGCCCGAGACAGAGCTGCCGCCTGGAGTGCGGCTCCCACTGCTGCGGCGATGGCCCCTTTGACCCCCTCTGCCGCGCTGCCAGCCGCCGGCGCCAGCGCCGCCGCCAGCTGCTGCCGCTGGTGGTGGTGCTGCTGCAGCAGATGCTGCTGCTGCTGCTCCACCATGACAGTGGGCGCCTCCAGCGCCCGCGGGGCAGCTGCCTCGAGAGCCTGGAGCGCCTCCTGCTTCACCGCATCAGCATCCACCTTGGCTGCCGCCCCCAGCACAGCCACCACCGGGAGCTCGCCTACCACAGCCGCTGGCCCGGGCCCTGCGCCGCCGCCGCCGGCAGCGCCCGCATCATCCGCCGCCACGCCTGCTGCGCCGACACCCGCGAGGCCGCCGCCGCCGGCTCCCGGCGGCGGCAGCGATGCACTCTGCGTGCGCTCGGTGCGTGCCGAGGGCAGACCCATGCCCAGGTTCCTGCAGGGTAAGAAGAAAGGGTAGGAGGTGGGTGGAGTAAGCAGGTGGGTGAGGGAGAGTGGGGAAGGCGCCATGGCACAGCACAAGAGCGCAACCAGCCGCCACGCCTCCCCGCCCGCAGGTGCTTGCCTGGCCACCCGCGACACAGTGGTGGCGCAGTGGCCGTGATAGAAGCAAATGTCCTGCAGGAGGAGGAGGAGGCACAGCAGTAGGCCAGCGGCCCTGCCTGAGGGAAGGAAAACAAGGTAGGCCTGGGGCTGGGTGGACAAAGCACGCAGCAGGCCCAGCTCAGGGAAGGGCGTCAAAGCGGCAGAACAACCGCGGGGTTTGTTCATGGCTATGCCTTCCCCTTCCCGGTCCCAGTCGAGATTGGTGTGGGGCAGCACACAGGGTTCTCACCCTCAGGCTCAGCCGCGACTCCACCAGGTGCGCAACCAGAAACTCCCGAGACAGCTCAGCCTTGCGGTTGCGCGGGTCTGCGGGGCAGCGGGGTGGTCGTGATAGGGTGGGGGCATGTGGTTGTGGGAGTGGGGCAGGGCAGCAGGCATGGCCAGGGACATCTGAGCATGCTGTTGGGATGGATGAAGCCTCCACAGCGGCGCGGATGGCTGGCAAGAGCGCGCTGGCTAGCAAGGGCCCCGCAGCCAGCGACGCCGCCTCACCGCTCCCGTCGTTCTTCTTACGCCGCCCGCGCTTGGATGCAGCACGCTTGTCCTCCTCGCTCAGCGGCGGCTGCCCGCAGCTGGGGCACAACGGCGGCATGCCGCCCTTGCGCTTGCCCAGGCGCCCGCCCGCTCGACACTGGTCGGGCTGCTGCGCTGCGGTGGCGGCCGCTTCAGCAGCGGCGATTCCAGGCTGGGCAGCTGCCTCCCCCGCCGCATGCGGCTGCATCAGCTCGCCAAGCAGCGCCGCCTCGCTGGCTGTGGGCGAGCCTGGCTGGATATCCTCCTCCTCCTCCTCCTCTGTCGCATCCTCCTCACCCTCATCAGGGGGATGCTCCTCCGAATCGCCAGACTCTCCTCTCACCCCTCTCTGGGGCTGCCCTCTCACCCTTCTCCGAGGCTGCGCCACTTGCGCTGCTGCCAATCGTGCTGCTGCTGCTGCTGCATAGCTGTGCACAACGTCTTTGCTGGGCAGCCCGGCCTCCACCTGCTGCTGCTGGTGTTCCAGGCTTGCGTCAGCGCTGGATTGCGCTAGGTCCGCCCCTTGCAGCCCTGGCGCATCCTGGTGCGGCGCAGCCTGATCAGTGACAGCGGCGCCAGCTGCAGCTGCAGGCTCTCCAGGCATCCTGCTAGCTACCCTGCCCTCCGCATGCTGCTGCTCTGCCTGTTGGCACTGCGGCGGGGGCAGGCTGTTGAAGCCGCCTGTGCCCTTGGCACAAACGTGTGGCAGCATACCCCAGGTGCCGCCGTTGGCCTGCTGCTGCTCAGGGAATGGTGCTGTCGGCTGTGCAGCCGGCTGCCGCCACGATGCAGCGCCGGCGGCCCGGGCTGCTGTCGTGGCTCCCGAAACAGTGATTCGGAACGTCCTTCCTTCTAGCTCTGGGAAGGATGCCTGGCGCCCCGCCTGTGCCTGATGATGCTCTGCTTGCAGCACCGCCAGCGCGCCACGCGCCGCAGCCCGGCGTGGACGCTTCCCGCCAGGCTCCGGGTCGCTGGCGGTGGCAAGGGCTGTGGGGAGCGGCACCACCGTGAGCCGCTCACCCTCTTGAAGCTGTGCCAGCACGTGCAGCAACGCCTCCACATCCCCTGTCGTGCTGCTGCCGGCCTCGCCGCTCCGTGGGCTGGGGCCGTTGGCAGCAGCGGCAACGGCGGCTGCCGCGCCGGCATCCAGGTGTGCAGCTCCCCGCTTGGCCCTGCCGCTGGCGTCGCCAGCAGCGCCCTGCCTGCCTGCTCGTTCTTGCCCTTCCTGCAAGGACCAGGACAGTACCAGCCGCAGGAACTTAGAGCAGGGTTTTCTGGGGTGCTGTTGGGATGATGGAAAAGCCCAGGCATGGGTCGACCAGGCAGCCAGCTGGGCTGCTCACGGCCACACCCCACCTCCCGCTTGGCTCCCGAGTCGGAGTCACCAGAGGCCAGTGCCACCAGGCTGGTAAGCGCAGCCATAGGCGGCCCGATGGTAGCCTGCAGAGGCAGGCTACACGAGGCCTGCAGGTGCACAGGCGCAGGTATGGAGGACAGGACGAGCGGCGGCGGCTGCAGGAGATGCCACACTCTCGGCATGCTCTGCAGGCATCCCCTGGACGTCCCAAATGCTCACCCCTGCCTGCCAGACCGCTGTGTGTCGTTGGGACGCTGGGTCGCGGGCTGCCGGTGGACCGGCTAAGTCGAGTGCAGCCAAATGGCAAATGCAGGCTCTGTGGAGCTCCACCACCACGCAGCTTTGATTGTTTTACGACGTGACGGACGGGGGTGCAGAGGACTGGCGTCACCTTCACGGCCGAGGACCACCGCACGGCTGACAAAGGGGCGTCGCGGCCTGTTAGTCAAAAACAGACAAGGGGCTGGCATGTGGTCGACAAATTGAGAATCGGCCCCTCTCCGACTCCTGCAGAAGCTGCATCCTGAGGTGCAGGTGGCGGGCGCCGCCGCTGCAGCTGGGCGGGCGCCGCTGGAGTGGACAGCTCTTACCTGCGCAATGGGGTTTGGCCTGCCTGGGTACCAGGAACTGCCCCTCTCCCTCTCCCACATTTTGTGTGCATTGATGACTTGGAAACATCAGGCGACTGTGCGGTGAGCTATGTCGCCTGGCATAGAACAGGCGCATGACCGGATGGATGGCCGCAGGCACCCAATCAACCCGTTGCAGGTTCAGCCATCAAGCACCCCTGTAAGGACCACTCCGAGCAGCAATGTGATCGACCTGATGGGAAAGGCAAGTGCCAGCTGGTGTCCCGCCCGCCGCCCCGTCAGCTGGCAGCCGCACCCAGATGCCTCCCCCAGCCACATATCGCCCTGATCACAATGGCGTCCGATCCCACCAACGTGTACGACTCGCTGGGCCCCGTCTACGGCGATGGTGAGCAGGCATGTGGTTGGTGTTCACGCTTGCCTGAGCCTTGCCCTCTCACCTCGTCTCGATCGCTCCCCATGCAGCCGCCGAGACGGCCAGGAAGCGCTACGAGACGATCAAGAGCGCCTTTGAGGAGCGGTTTGGAGCGGCCCCCGACGTCTATGCCCGCTCCCCAGGCGCGGTGGAGCGGCTAGATGGCGTGGTGGAGCGCTGATGCGCCGGCGATCGCAGCCTGCCGGCAGCGCCAGTGTGCGGGTCGCCGGCGGCAGCGTGGAGCAGGCGGGTTGGCACCATACCCACACTTCCGTGCATCTTGCCTGCCTCCTGCTGTTGAGCAGGGCGCGTGAACCTGATTGGCGAGCACATCGACTATGAGGGCTATGGCGTGCTGCCCATGGCGCTGGCCGTGGTGCGCTGGGCTGCCGTTCTGCCGCCACCCGCCCCCTACTGCCGCCGTCTGGCAGCGTGCCAGCACCGCGGGGCAGCGCCAGACGGAGCCCTGCCGCTGCTGTCCATGAATGCTTACCATGCTGGGAGACCTGCGTCTCGGGAAGCACATGCCCCTGCATCAGCAGCCCACGCACCCCGCCGCTCCCAGCATCACTGCCCGCGCCCACCCCGCCCGCTGGGCAGGACACGGTGGTCGCTGTGCGCAAGAGCGGCGACCAGCTTGTGGTGTGCAATGTGGAGGCTGGAAAATACCCGGAGAAGACCTTCTCCATTGACCCGGCGCAGGTGTGGGCCTTGCAGGGCGGTCAGGCCCACTGCAGGCGCTGGTACGGTGCTGGGCTGGCAGCGTGAGCAGCCCCGCTTTGCCATGCCCAGGCTTGCCTGGAGCTGCGCCTCCCGCTGCTGCCTGGCCTGCCTCGCTGCGCCCATCATGCTGCCTGCCTCGCTGCTTCCACCATGCTGGCTGCCTCGCCGCACCTGGCTGCCTTGCAGGAGGTGGATGTGGGCAAGCACAACTGGGGCAACTACTTCCTGGCCGCCTACAAGGGCGTGTTTGAGTACTTGGGAGGCAAGGGGGTGGCCACCCCGCCGCCTGTGGGCCTGCAGGTCATGGTGCACGGCACGGTGCCCACAGGCGAGGATGGGGCGCGGGGTGTGAGGGGAGCGGCGGCCGCGAGGGGCTGTGCGGGGTGTTGAGTGGCGGCTGGCGGCGGGCGGGGCATGCTGGCGAGGAGATGTGTGGGCCCTGCGCTACAAGCGCCTCGAGTGTAGCTTATTGCGTTGCCAAGTGTCCGGGCTGTGCGTCAGCCTAGGCTGCCTGTTGTGTGCCCCGCCCCTGGCTGCCGCAGGTGGCGGCCTGTCCAGCTCTGCCGCCATTGTCTGCGCCGCCGCCCTGGCTGTGCTGCACTCGCACGGCATCCGGCTGACAAAGGGGGTGAGCCAGCTGGGGCAGCCCCACATGCACAAGGGCACAAGTGTCCTGCCCATATGCCGCGCGTGTCCTCTGCATCCTGCACGCCGCTGCAGGGGCCGGCCTGTTCTCCTCCTCTGCCATTGTGTGTGCCACTGCGCTGGCAACCCTGGCGGGGCTGGATTTGCTGCATCTGCACCTCGCCAAGCAGGTCCCGCACACGCCCATCCCTGCATCACACCGCACCTGGCCGTATCGCCATGCCCATCGCTGACGCTCCACCCTCTCCTGCTCCCCTCCCCTCCCCTCCCTTCCCTTTTGTGCCTCCCCTCCCGCGCCTCCTTTCCCGTGCCCTCCGTCCCTCCCCCTGCCCTTCTCTCCTCTCTCCCCTTCCTTTCTTCCTCGACCACAGGAGGTGTCAGAGTTCACTGCCAAGGCGGAGCGGTATGTGGGGGTGACCTCTGGCGGCATGGATCAAGCCATCAGCATCATGGGCATGCCCGGCATCGCCAAGATGGTGGAGTTCAACCCGGTGGGCGCCTGCGCCCTGGGCCTGCCTGCGCCTGCGCCTGCGGCTGTGGCTGGCTGCGGCTGCAGCTGTGGCTGGCTGCGGCTGAGGCTGGCTGCGGCTTCCTTTTGCTGCTTGGTGGTGGTGGTGTGTGTGTGTGTGTGGGTATGAGTGTGTGTGTGTGGTGTGTGGGAGGAGCCGATGCGACGCACTGCTCCGCAAGAGTAAGTCCCCCAGCCCCTTCGTGCTGAGCGGCCGCCTGCGCCCGTGCCCGCCCCAGGTGCGCGCCAGCGATGTGGTGCTGCCCGAGGGCGCCGTGTTTGTGGTGGCCAACTCTCTGGCCATCAGCAACAAGGCAGAGTCGGCGGTGAAGCACTACAACCTGCGGGTGGTGGAGTGCAGGTGGGAGCGGGTGGCGGCAGGGGGTGGCGGGGGGGCCTGGGTCCGCACGGGGCGGCGCCACGGATGCCTGTAGAGCGGAGCGGCGGTGCATAGAGGCGGCGCGGGGGTGGTGGATGGATGAATGTGGCGCGTGTGTCTCTGGGCTGTTTGCAGGCTTGCGGCAGGCGCGCTGGCGGTGATGCTGGGAGAATGCAAGGTGAGGCCCACGCTGCCACGGGCTGCCGGGCAGCGCGGGGGTGCCGGCAGAGGCTGCCTGGCGCGCCAGCGCACGGCTGCCTCTCTCAGCGCTGAGCGGGACGAGTGCGAGGCTGTGTTGCAGGAGGCTGCCCGCAAGATCATCACGCTGAAAGAGATTGAGCCGCTGATAGAGGCTAAGTACAGGTGTGAGGAGGCATGGGAGCCAGCGTCCCCCGCTGCTGGCAGGGACCCCATCCCCTCGACACTCCTGCCGCGTGCCTGCTGCCCTCCTACCCCATCCCCTCTGCGCCTGCGTCTGCTGCACCAGCCCAGCCCGTGACCCCCTTTGTGCTCGTGGCTCGTCGCAGCGGGCCAAAGGCCAGCACCAGCGGAGCGCAGATCGCGGCGGTGAAGGAGCTGCTGCACGACGGTGGGCCGCCGGGCCTGCCCTGCTGTGCGACGCAGCTGCTGCTGCGCGGTGCGGTGCAATTGGGCGGCCCTGCGTGTGGTGTTGAGGCAGGCCAGGCATCAGGCTGCGGCAACTCTTGCTGGCTGACTCGGCGCAGATCCGTATGAGACAGCTGAGGTGGAGGAGCTGCTGGGGGTGAAGCTGGCTGACCTGTACCAGGGCAACGACTCAGCGCTGCGCGTGCTGGCCGCCAACGGTGCGCCAGCCAGGCGCCCACCCTCCGCGGACCGGGCCAGATTTGCTGGGCTGCTTCCTGACTGTGCAGGCAGCGCAGCAGATGCGGTGCAGAGGCTTTGGGATGCAGGTGCACAGAGGCCTGCCGCCCCCTTCCCACCCTTGCTGCCTGCGCCTCGCTGCACCGCAGGCAGCTTTGTGCTGAAGAACCGCGCACTGCATGTGTACGCCGAGAAGCAGCGGGTCCCCGAGTTCAGGTGCCCGACAGCCGCGTCGATGTCGGCGCGCTGCCGGCGCGCTGGAGTCCCTGCGGCAAAGCAGCACCTGCCGCCCGGGGCCCGTGTTTCAGTTGCCTGCTCATCTTCATGCCTGGCCCCAGCTGTCTTGGCTGCCACCCTGCCGCAGCGATGTGTGCAACAGCGGGGCGGGCGTGGAGAAGAAGATGGAGAAGCTGGGCAGGCTGATGGACGACTCACACGCCAGCTGCAGGTACAGGGCAGGCTGGCTGGTCTGGGCAGCCGGGGGCATGGCAGTGCGGCTGGGAAGCACAGCTGGCTGCTGCACCGGGTGGCCGGTGTGGATGCTCAATGCAATGCTGGCGCGCGGGTCCCGGCTCACGCATGGCTGCCTGGTGCCCTTGGCCCTGGCTGCAGGGACCTGTATGAGTGCAGCAGCGTGGAGCTGGATGCGCTGGTGCAGGTGCAGCAGCTGCTGGTTTTGTGCCATGCACACGCGCACGCCCCTGCTCATGCAGGGCTGCCAGCTCAGGGCATTCATGCCCAGCACAGACTGGGAACCCTGCCGCCAGTTCTGCCATCCCCTTCCAGACTGCCACGCGCTGCCAGCTGTGCCCAGCAGGCTTCTCGCCTACCTGGCCTGCAGGTCAACAAGGCAGCGGGCGCCATTGGGTCGCGGCTGACGGGCGCGGGCTGGGGCGGATGCACCGTGTCGCTGGTGCGGGAGGGCGAGGTGGACACATTCATCCAAAAGGTGGGCAGCCCTGCAGCTGCGGCCAGCAGATGCCTGACATATGCCTGCTGACCTGCCTGCTGCTGTTGTCACACCGCTCCGGCTCTCACAGCTGTTTCCTGCGCGCTGGTGCGCTGGTGCAGGTCAAGGAGGGTTACTTCAAGGGGTTGGTGGAGGCGGGGCGGGTGACAGAAGCGGAGCTTGGGCAGCACATCTTCGCCAGCAAGCCAGCCAGCGGCGGCGCGGTGCTCACGCTGAAGCTGTGAGCTGGCCTGGCGACACCACCAGCCAAGCTGGATGCCGCTATTGGAGCGAGTGGCACAAGAGAGCAACCCTGTTGTTGAACATTTCCACTGTGGAATTAGCGACCGAGTTGTGAGTGCTTACAGTTGGTGAACTGTGGCTGAGCATGTATAGAGGGAGCTGAGCAAGAAATACAAACAGAACGACTGTCAGTGGCTGTAGAAGGGGTACAAATGCTGTCAAGAAAGGAAGGAAACGAGGAAGGGTACGTTTGATGCAAGTCATTCGTTGTATCAAGCTGAGGCAGCTGACTCCCGGGCCCCAGGTCTGAGCTCTCTCTACCAAAGCTGTCAGTGGCTGTGGTGGCTGTCAGGTGCTGATGCGCGGGCCGGGGGCTCACGCCTTCTTCATCTCAATCAGCATGAAGTGCGCCCCGGCCTCGCTGCCCGCCTGCAGGCTCAGGTGCAGCGGCTTCTTGTCTGCCACCAGCTCCGCCGCGTCGCGCTCGCCCAGCTTGGTCTCTGCAGCAGCAGCGGCGGGGCAGGCAACAGGCACGGGACCCCTCAGTGACATGAAGACGGACCAGCCGCGGCCCACCGCTTCCATCGCAGCATGCACGAGAAGGCACCAGGCACGGCAACTGCACTTGCCTGCATCGGCGGTGCCCAGGGTCATGGCGCCCTCGATACACACGAGGTAGGCCTGGCGCCCAGGGGACAGCACGATGTCGTGCTGGAACCCGGGGTCCGACTCCGACACAAACACGTGTGCATCCTGCACAAACAGGACAGGGAGGCGGAGGGTAGAGAGCGTGAGGACAAGCGTTGGATCAGAGGCTCCACATGGCAAGACAGCGCATGGCACAGCGAGGATGCGGCGCGGGGCACACCTGGTGTAGCTTGATGCACCGCCCCGCCTGGAAGGTGCTCCACGTGGGCACGGGCCCCGTGCCACCCAGCATGTGCAGCAGCTTGTTGTGGCGGTCCTGCCTGTCGTACTGCGCGGAGCCGTACTGCGGCGTGTGGCCCCGCTGGTCGGGCGTCAGCCACACCTGCAGGAAGCGGCACGTCTTGTCGCCGTCGTTCATCTCGCTGTGCACCACGCCCGTGCCCGCAGACATGTACTGCACGCAGCCGCGCGGCAGGCTCTCGTAGTTGCCCATGCTGTCCTGCAGGGCACGAGGTGGCATCACAGCGGCATGGTTGGCACCAGGGAGGAGGCTGGAAGCAGCGCACAACGGCAAAGGCCGCACTCGGCGCGAGGCGCGGCCTCGCATTCACAGGGCACTGGCAAAGCAGCAGGCGCAGCTGCACCAAATGCATGTGCTCATTTACCTTGTGCGACAGCTCGCCGGAGACAATGTAGCTGAAAATCTCGGCGTCGCGGTGGGGGTGCGCCCTGCACAAAATTCGGCACAGGAAGTGGGGAGCGCGTCCTTGGGAGTTGTGCATGGAAGGGCAGGGGGCTGACCACGCTGCATTCCCCCCCACACAAGCTCTGCTGGACCCCGCGGCAGTGCCATGTGGCATGCATCAAGTGAGCTGTGGCAAGCAGCGAGAGCAGCGAGGCAACCAACGATCCAGAGCGGCGCGGCAGCGTACCCGAAGCCGTTCCGGGCCTTGACGAGGTCATCGTTGACGACCCGCAGCGATCCAAAGTTCATGTTTTGCGGGTTGTAGTAGTCGGCGAAACTGAAGTGGAAGCGCGACTCCAGCCAGTGCGTGGGCTTGCTGACGGTCAGGCTGCTGGCCGGGATGTGGCGCACGGGCGGCACGCCCATGGCAGCGGTGGCGGCCGGCCGACCGGCGGCGGTGTCTGGCAGGGCCTTGCGGGTGAATGAGCGGGTCAGGGTGGTGAAGGCGGAGCGCAGTCCCGAGGTCGGGGAGGATGGCTGCATACGCTGGGACAGGAAGGTTGGGAGAGTGGAGAGGAAGTGAGGAGTGGACGAAATCGAGGCCTTTTATAGGCCCGGGGCGGCGATCATACACGCATGCGGTGACCCGGCGAGAAAAGGAAGCAAGCTCACAGCCTCTGGAACCTTGGCTCACCTCACCCCGCTGCCGGGATGAGGCACAGCGGGAGTGCGCCTTCGGCTCACACTTGGTTCAATCGACCAATACCAGGCCAACAGCCTGACGGGCTTGCCGCGCCAGTCCTGCCCCGCATGCCGCAGCAGTGGCAGCGGGCACCACAGCGCGGCCGCCAGTCGGCGTCCACTCATCTGCTTTTTCTGCCTATGCATTGGGTGCAAAGCACACCACTCTTTGATTAACGGAGTGAATTTAGAGTGCCGAAACGAGTACCCAGCCTCAGCCTGTGGCGGCGCCTGGCCCGCGCCGCGCCACCTGCTGCGTTCTGCATCGCACCGGGCCCTAGCGGCTGCTGCACTGTGCTTCATTACAGAACCATGTCGAGGTTTTGATCGTGGCATGAGATCCTCACCTGCAACCAGCACTGGAATGCACAACAGGAATGCACATCTGCCGCCTGCTGTGCCGCGCTGTGCCGCAAGTTCAAAGCCCAAGTTCGCCGCCTACCACCTCATTTGCCGATTGGGCCGACCCCTGACGCCTGCCTCGATTGCATCACGCAGCCATGGAGGCCACCTGTGGCGGCTTCGAGGCGGTTGTGTCGGCCTTCTCAAAACAAATCGCGGAGCTGAGGGAGGCCACGCTGCTGCGAGTGGATGGTGAGCATCTGTAGCCGCGGCGGGCTGCTCAACATGCGATCTGCCGCCGGCGCTCAGCAGCCCCACGCCGCCCGCCCCGCTCCGGCTTGCCGCTGCACCGTCCCGCAGACACCACGCGCCAGCTGCACACCCAGGACGTGGAGGCCATCGAGGCTACGGTGCGGGCGCTGGAGCACAAGCTGCGAGACATCAAGGCGTATGTGGCGCGCGAAGCGGCGGCGATACCGCAAGTGGAGGCGGTAGTGGCGGCCTGCCAGCTGCAGCAGCACCACCTGCACCACATCGCGGGCCACCTGCCCACCTACCTGCCCTCCCTGCGCTCGCCGGAGGTGGCGGGCGTCAAGGAGAACAGCAGAGCAGCGCCCAACCAGGCAGCGGCGGCAGACGGCGGCGGCGGCGGCGGGCCCAAGAAGCGCCCGCCCGCGCCTCGCAGGTACGGGAGGGTCGTGGCAGGGCAGGGCCGCCCCTGCCTGGTGCCCGCAAGCACCCTACACCATGCCACGCCTCCCTCCCTCCACCCTCCCCGCACCCTCACACTCCCCCCTCCTCTGTTACCCCCGCCCCTCTGGCAATGGACCCAGGTACATCACCGCCGATGAGCTGGCCTCTGTATCCTCCTACATGCGCGGCCGCCTGACCGCCGACCGCATCAACGCGGCGCTGGACGAGATGGCGGCGCTGGCGGAGGGCAACGCGGCCATGGTGGCGGCGGCGCGCCGCAACCGCGCCACGGGTCCCAACAAGAAGCATGCCATGTGGATCGCCTTCAACGTGGCGGTGAGGCGGGGGAGGCGGGGAGGGTCACGGGAGGCAGGGCCACCAGCAGCCCCTGGCGCCAGCCCTGAAGATGCCGCTCCACTGCCCGCTTGCCTAGACATTTTGGCCAAAACCCCAGCTGGTGCTGCCCAACAGACCTGCCGCGCGCCGCGCCTGCTCTGCCGCCCGCCCATCCCCGCCCGCCCATGCAGCCGCACGAGCCGCTCAAGGGGCGCAGCTGGGTGCTGGAGGCAGACCTGCGCACCGGCACCGCGGTGCGGCTGGACAAGACGGGCAAGGCGCTGCTGACGCTGCTGCGCCACCTGGGGCGGCTGCAGGAGGTGCGGGTGCAGGCCGACGGCGCCACGCACCTCGTCTACGTGATGCTGCCCGGGGCGGGGGACCAGTAGCCGCGCAGCCCGGCAAGCAGCAGGCTCCATGCATGCCCGCCGGCAGCATGACAGCAGCATACCAACGGCTCACACCGCGCCACACGTGTAACCCACACCGCCTCGCCCCACGCAACACCAACCCCTGCCGCACTGCACATCTGCGAGGTTTGGCCCGCTGTCCTCCTCACAGCGGCAGCAGTCATTTCTACGGGTCCTCTTACATCACAGGCACAGCTGAGGCGGGGTCCGCACCCTGGGCAGACTCGCCTCGCACAACGCGCCGTCCTAAACCGCTCAGGCCAGGTAGTGGAAGCGCACCAGCGGCACGCTGCCTGCCACAAGATCCATCTGCAGCAACAGCGGGTGGGGAGACGAGGGCGACAGTGCAGCATTCAGACACCCCGCAGCGCACGCGAGGTGCTCGGTGGGCTGCCGCCAGACACGGCTGCTGGATGCATCCCATGTGCTGCAACGAGCAGCACCACGCATGCCGCACACAGGTGGCGACAAGGCCCTGGCGCTGCCATTTCCCAGCCCAGCGCATCAGTCGGCCAGCCCGGCAGCCCCTGCGCTGCTCCTAGCATGCCCTGGCCGCTCCAGCGGTCTGCCCACCTGGCGCTGGCCCTCGGGCGTGATGCGGCGCCCGCCGCGCGCCGCCGGGTTCTTCTCCACCAGCCCCATGGCCTCCAGCTGCTGCAGCGCGTGGCGGATCACGCCGCCCGCCGCCTTGGCGTGGTGCTCCGGGTTGACGCCGCCGGCGGCGTTGGTGCGGCCGCCAAAGGCGCGGCGGAAGGCGCCCACGCCCATGCCCTGGTTGATGTACACGCGCCGCGCGATGGCAGCTGCAGGCGAGGGGGGGACAGGCGGGCAGGCGGGCAGGCACACGGACGGGCGGCCGTCAGCAGGCTGCTTGCACACGCATGCCGCACATTGACATGCAGCATGCGGCTGCTGCCTCGCCTTTGCCCCATATGCGGACACCTCAGGGCTGCCGCAAAACCCCGTGCACTGCCTGCTGCCGGCGCATTGCATTCGGGTGCCGCAGCTGTTGAGAACGGGGCTGCCTGCTCCACGGGAGCGCCGCATCTGGCTGCCCATTGGTCTGCTCCAGCCTGCCTGCTGCGCGCCACGCTGCCAAGATCCCTTGCCCATCCACGCTCCTGCCGCTGCCTCGCTGCCTCGTTGCTGTTACGCACGCCAAAGCCGCGCCGCGCCATTCACGTGCTGCCCTGCTCTTTTCACACACTTCCCCAGCTGCAAAGCTGCCCCGCCCACCGCGGCTGCGCACACGGCTCGCACCTGCGCGGACATAGTACCAGTCGGGGTCCAGGGGCGCCAGCTCCTTGAACGCGCCGGTCTTCACATAGTCCACATACTGCGGCAGCTGGACCTGCAGGCAGCAGCGCGGCGTGCCAGGCTCTCCGTCAGGCCCTGCTGAAGCGCCGCCGCCGCCGCCCGCCACGCCTCGCTGGCGCGCGGCCCTCCACCCGCCCGCCGGCCTTGCGGCCGCCTGCCAGCGGCATGATGCCAGCGGCCACTGAGCCTCGCTGCTGGACGCCTGGGGCGGCCTGCATGCTCCATCATGCGGGCCAAGGCCTGCTTGGCGGCCCTGTCGCGCCTCTGAGCTCTGCAGGGCCTCCGCACCTTGTTGGTCTGCTTCAGGTAGGCCGCAAACGCCTTGATAAAGGCGTCGGGCGACACCTCTTTGACACTGCGAGGCCGGTCCTCAGCCATATTTGCTGGCTGCTGTGAGCGCTCCACACAGGCGAGCCAGCAGCAGCGAAGAGACCGAGGCAGGCGCGGGGCGCGGCAAAGGGCGTCCCCCGCATGACTCGTTCGTTCCCGGCTGGGCCCCTGGCGACCGCGGTTTTCGCCCTGCTTTGCATCGGACAAGACGTTTGCAGCCTAGCCTGCCGTCAATTACGCCTCCCAGCAATCCGCAGACCGCACCAAGCCTGCAGAGGGCGGGCCGCCAGTCAAAGGCCGGGCGCAAACGCCGTATCTTGGTGCACCGCCGGGGATAGCAGGCATACCGCCCAAAACCAAGGGGAAAGTGGTGAGCGCTGCCGCCGACGGATGACCGGAGATGTGGCGCCACCCGCCTGCCGCCTCTGCGCCGTGCCCTCTCGCTCCCGGGCTGCCCACTCGCTCCCAGTCTGCCCCCCACCCCACCCCCACCAACACAGAAGGAGAGCGCGGAGCAGCGGCGGGCGCGGCTGGAGATGGAGGCGCTGTCGGCGGCAGAGGAGGAGGCGGCGCGGCAGGCGGCGGCGGCCTCGCAGCTCAAGGCGGCGGCGGCCCGCGAGGCGGCCATGACCGCAGTCAACAGCCGGCGCCTGGACGCCGAGTGGCTGCAGCGCATGCGGGCGGCCAAGCTGGAGGAGCTCCAGGCAGAGGCACGCGCGCTGTCACGCCAGCACGACGAAGCGGTGGACCGCCGCGACCGCTTGGCCGAGGTAGCTGGTAGAATATGGTGTGGGTCTGGTTAGTGAGGCTGGGGCTGGGTGGAGGACTTCACTGTACAGCAGGAATGGAATGCAGAAGTAAACTGGGGGCCCCAACTGGGCTGAGAGGCCCTGAGACTGCTTCCCTGCCCCTCTGTGCACACTCCCCCAATCGCACAACCCCCGCAGGCCCTGCTGGAGGACGTGGCGGCGCAGAATGCGCAGCACGTGGCGGCGGCGGCAGCCCACAGCCGCGTGCTGGATGAGCTGCTGGAGCTGCACAGCGGCCGCCTGGGCGCGCTGCACGCCCAGTTTGGCGGCGACCTGCGCCAGATTCAGGCGGAGTTTGAGAGGTGCGGGGTTGGTTTAGGGAAAACGTGTCGAGTGGGATCACAGGCGGCAGAAACAGCGGTCAAGGGGTGCTTGGCCAGGTTGGGGGCGGCGTTCATGCACCCGCCTGCCGCACTATCTGCATTCATGCACCCGCCAGCCGCCCCATCTCGGCCTCCCTTCCTCTGTCCGCTGTCCGCAGCGAGAAGGCCGAGATGGCGGCACTACATCACCGTGCCAAGAAGGAGCTGGCCGACATTGCGGCGGCGCTGCAGCAGTCGTACGCAGACACGCGGGCCGAGGCGGCCGCGGCCTACCGCCTGCAGGTGCGCGGCCGCTGCGCAGCTGCCTGCCTTTGTGGCATGCATGCGGGAGTGCTGCTCATACACAACAAGTTCTACCGATACTGCTCAGCTGCCAGTGGACTCTGTCTGATATCCTGACCATGCCCTGCATTCATACACCCTGACCCTGCGCCTGGCAGGAGGAGGAGGCGCGCAACCGGGCCAGCGAGGCATATAATGTGACCAAGCTGAGCCTGGAGGGGCGGGTGCGGGAGCTGGAGGGCGAGGTGGAGCAGCAGCACAAGGTGCGCAGCCGTGGGCAGGGCGGGGTGGCGCCTGCGGCACAGTGAGCAGAGGGCGGGTGCCACTCAGCACATCCTGGCGCACCTAAGCACAGCTGTTTGAGCACAGCTGTTTGAGCAGCAAGAGAGGCCTGCCTGCCTGCCTGCAGAGCTACCAGGAGGCCACCTGGGAGCAGGAGGAGGCCTACCAGGAGCTGGCGGCGGCGGATGCCGAGGCGGCTGACGCCATAGCGCAGCGCACGGAGCGGCTTCGGCACCTGCAGGAGACGCTGGCGCAGGTGCCTGCCTGGCTGGTGGGGGAGCTGCCAGGCTGAGGGGTTGAAAGGGGCAGGACCGCAGCTGGAAGGCGGTGCCTAAAAAACGTATGCATGTGCAGCAGATTGCGACAGCCCAGCCTGCACGAGCACGCCTGCCTCCCCTGCCCTGCCTTGCACGCCACCCCGCAGTGGCGCGGCCGCATCGTGGCCAACAGCAGCGAGTGGCAGCGGCGCAACGCGGCACTGGCGCGAGAGAAGGAGTTTGTGCTGGGGCACCACACCGCGCTCAAGGCGGCGCTGGCCAAGTTCCGGTCGCAGCAGGAGGCGCGCCTGAAGCAGATGTGTGTCGCCTGGTCAGTGTCTGTGGCGGCGCAGCCAGCAGCAGGAGGCGTCGGTGCTGTATGTGCTGCTCCTGCGCAGAGGGGAGACCTGCAGGCACGGAGGAAGCGTGGAGACTGTTGCGCAGTTGCCTGGCACGCTCACCAGCAGCCGCCCGCCCTCCCGGTTCGTGCAGCGCTGATGTGGAGGCGGGGCTGCGCAAGCACCTGGCCACTGCGCAGCGCATCGTCCGCATTGCCACCCTGTGCCGCAAGCACGAGCTGCCTGGGGAGGCGGCGGAAGGGAACACGGCTGAGGAGCCATGCAGCGCTCAGTTGCCCGCCCCAGCCGCAGGTGCGGCCCAGCAGCAGGAGGCAGCAGAGGGAGTTGGCAAGGCGGAGCAGGAGGCAGCACAGGGAGATGGCGAGGAAGAGCAGGAGGCTTGCAGCCATTTGCCGGCTGGCTTTGAAGGCAGCCGCCCCGGCAGCAGCAGCAGTTCCCAGCATGGCCGCAAGCCCAGCAGCAGCAGCGGCAGCAGCAGCAGCCCCAGCATTGCAGGCGCCGCGGATGCGCTGGCGGAGCTGGGCCTGCAGCCCGGCAGCGACGGCCAGCGCCTGGTGGGCGCCTTTGTGCGGCGCATGAACCGCGCGGTGCTGTGCAGCGCGGCGCTGGAGCAGGAGCGGCTGCGCCTGGCGGCAGAGAACTCCGCGCTGCGGGCGGTGATCAAGGAGGTGGAGGATTGCGGCAGGGTGGGGCCTGGCGCAGCGGAGGGGCCCCTCAACACGCTGCTCATCGTGAACGAGCGGCTGCAGCGGGAGCTGGGCGGCGCGGCGGCGCAGCGGAGCACCAGCGTCCAAGCCGCTGGGCGGTAGAGGCGGCGGCGTGCTGTGGTTCACAACCGGTTATACCCCTCTCCCTAACTTCCTGCTCTGGCTGCAACGACTCCTGCCTCCCCTCCTCTCCTTGCCTGCCTGCCTGTGCTCAGGGTGTGCCAGCGTGCTTTTCCGGGATTAAATGCTGCTGCGGACGTTATCAAGGGGCGCCGGCAATCTGCCGGGCATACGCACATCCTAACCCGAGAACCGAAAGATGCGAGCAAGGGGAAGACAGAGGAGGGCTGGGGCGGCGTGCAGCCAGCGGGGACGGGGCTGGCTGGGCGCCGGGTGGGGTGTGCCGCTGCGCTGCACGGCGGCCAGGCCAGCTGGCGCTGGCTCTCAAGAGGGTGTGTGATGTGTGGCCAGCAGCCCATCCCGCTGCAGGCTGCCGCGGGTGGGGCTGCTGCCCAGGTGTTGGCGGCCGGGGGGCCAGCACCAGGGAGCGCCCCTGACGCAAGCAGGGGCGCCGCCCGCGCTGGCCCGCGGCCGCCGCCGCTGCTGCTGCCGCTGCTAGTGCCGCTGCCGGGGCGCTTAGGCCTGGCCGGTGACCTTGATGGCGCAGATCTGCTCCTCGCCCATGGCCTGCATGAAGGTGGGAGGGGTGGGGGGGGGCAGGTGGAGGGAGCGAGGCAGGGTGAGAGGCGGCAGCACTGTTGCTTGGAGCAGCCAGACAGCAGCGCGGGTGGCAGGCATGCAACGGGCGTGCAGCGCGGGTGGCAGGCATGCGGCGGGCGTGCAGCGCGGGCGGGTGGCTCAGACAAGGCTGAAAGTGTGTCGGCATCCAGCGGTGTGCTGCTGAGAATTTGATGGTACTAGGTTGGTCATCCCCGCCACGCGCCCGCGGGCAGCATGCACGCCGCGCGCGTGCCCGCAACGCGCCCGTCCCCTCCAGGCCTGCTGGAACACAGCACCTGGCACCCCCCGGGAGCCCCACCCGCGCTCCCCCACCCAGCCCACCTTCATCACCGACACCGTGAGCTCCCTGCCCGCCTCAAAGTCCGCCTTCATCTGCACCGCCAGCTTCTCGGCGTCGTCGGTGCCCGAGGGCAGCTGCAGGTCGTCCTTGGTGTCGCCGCTCTCCGCCATCAGCGACACAAAGCCGTCGTCGCCAATGTCCAGCAGCGTGTAGTCGGTGCGGGAGACGTGGGGCACGTCCACGTTGTGGGAGGAGGGCGACAGGTCCTCCATCTTCTTGCCGGTGAAGATGTCGACAGCCACAAAGGCGCACTTGGCGTGGCCGTGCTTGCCCGTCTTGGAGGTGGCCACATCCACCACCTGCGGCAGGCGGGCGGGCGGGGGAGGGAGGGAGGCGGCGAGGGTTTGGTTGAGATGCAGGCCGGACGCGGGCCGCGGCGCACTGCCGTACCCAGCGCCCCTGCCTGGCGAATCTGCTGCTGGCGGCGACTGATCTGGCTGCTGCTGCTGCTGCTGCTGCTGCGTTTGCTGCGGGCAGGCTGGATCCGTAGCCAGCCAGCCGGGCGGCCCGAGCTGCGCGCACCTTGCAGGGGCGGCCCTTGATCACCATGTAAGCATTCTTGCGCACGGTACCGGCCTGCTGGGGGTAGCTGCAGGCAGGGGGAGAGCAACGGATGCGCGCTCAGCGTGCTGCTCGCCCTCCCACGCCGGCCAGGCTGCCTGGCGGTGTTTAACACTTCCCACATCCGCCCGCCCAGCCAACCAGCGTAGCGTGCAATGCAGCCGCGGCGGCGCCATTGCACTCACGTCAGCGACGCTGTAGAACAGCAATGCGAGCCGAGCCGAGTGGGGGGCAGGGGAAATGAGGCAGCATGTTAGATATCACGTCGGAGCACACGGCCACGGCACTGCACGATCATGCGGCGGCAAGCAGGCAGGCTGGCGCAGCAGGCCGCAACACAGCAGCCTCCTCACCGCCGGCATCGGCCGACTCGAAGTGGACATCGTGCCCTGCAGCAGACAGGAAAAGCAAGGGCCGGTCACGTTCGCTGCGCAACAGCATCGCTGCAAGGCTTGCCGCCACAGCGCAATTCGAATGCCACTGGCGGCACGGCGTCGAGGCGGGAGGCGCACCGTGATCGTCGTGGCCGCCGTCAGACATGGTTTCTGCACAGGAGCAGGCAAGGAGCGCGGGTGGAAGCGAGCCAAGCGAACAGCACGTCTGGGCAAACGACAGGCCTGGCATTGCCCACGGGCGTCCAGGCGGGCGGCGCCGGAAGGCTGCGGCGGCGCCCGCCCTCCCAGGAGCAGCGCTGCTGCGGCTGCTTCTCCGCGCGCCCTGACACTGCTTGGATTGCCAGCACCCCTGCCCCAGCAACGCGGCCTAGTGTCACGCCGCCGCATCGGTGCCATGACGGCGGGCCCGGCAGCGGCGCAGTAGTGCTGCTGTGTGCCTCCCAGCTACCCGGCTGAGGTGTGTCCGGCCGCTGCCAGCCTTCCCTGCACCCCCCGCGCTGCATCACCCCATGCACGGCGCTGCGTTGAGCCCCGCTGCTCACCGTGTCCTGGTGGTAACAGTCAACCCCAGCGGCACGGCTTCGGAAAAGGGCGATGCAGGCTGCATGACCACATTTGGGGAGGAGTTGGCGCCCTGCCCGCCCGGGTCGGGTCCTGCCCTCCGCTGGTGGCCAGCGGGAACCGGCATTGCACGTCAAGTTACAATCAGGGCGTTCTGGATTAGCATATTGGATGTCTGCTGCAAAAGTCGGGGGCCGTCAACAGCGTGAAGGGATGAAAAGGGGTTGGGTTGCGGCAACGAGAACAACAGGAATGAAATCTTACACAGGAAGGCGCGCAATGTCGCGGCCAGCCGATGCCGATCGCCGCAGCAAGCTGGGCTGCGGCGCGGGAGGCACAGTGGCGGCCTGCACCGCCACACGGCGCCGTGGCTCCCTTGCACCCCTGCTGCCCGCCTCGCTGCCTCCGTCGCCCTGCTGGTCCCCATGCTTTATGATCTGGTCCGTCAGCCGCTCGCCCGCCAGGTCGCTGACCAGGGTGGTCGACTCTGAGCGGCGCATCGAAGAGGCGAGGCGCCGCAGCGTGGCGAGCGCATAGTCGGGCATGTGGTCTGGCAGGGAGGAGGGGCGGTACAGGGAGCGGTACAAGAAGTTCATGAGCATGTGGGCGCGTCGGCGGTGGTGGTGACGGTAGTTGGGCTGCTGGGGTGCTCTGGAGGGTGGGGCATCGCCAGGCAGTGCATGCATGCATACATGCGGGTGGCCTGCGCGGGCCTCAGTGCCCACGCGGTGCAACGGCGACGCACCTGCCATCATGCGGCCGCTGATGAGGATGCCCTGGTCGATCAGCGAGCGCCCGTCCACGTAGACGGCGCGGTACTGGCGCTGCTTGGTGCGCCGCCACCAGCCGCCGCTGTAGCTGCTCACGCCCGTGGGCTTCAGCTGGAAGCAGCGCCCTGCGGCGGCGGCAGAAGCGGGGCACAGCCGAGCGTGTGAGTTGCGGGGGCCTGTTTGTCGGTAGGGTTAGGCTCCAATCTTGGCTAGCACTCGGCAGGCAACCAGCGGCGCCATGCCCCCGGGCTGCCCGCCCCCGAGGCCCACCCTCCCCAGGGCCCCACCGGGCGGCTGGAAGTCGTCTGCCAGCTGGATGAAGGAGCGGGTGGCGGCGGTGCGGCGCACGCTGTCGGTGTAGCCGCGCAGCGCCTCACGCGCCTCAACAGGCAGCTGCATGCGGCGGCGGGGGGGGTGGAGCGGTGGGAGTGAGAGGCCAGGCAGCAGGCACCACAGGTGGCTGCAGCAGCGGCTGGGGAGACATGCATGGCACCACTGAATCTTGCAGTTGTTCTCAAAATAGAACAAAAGCAAAGCATGTCAGCATTGAGATTTAGCCGCAGCCTCCTCCTCGTTACCTCCTGGGCCCCATAGAACAGCTCCTCCTCCCGCCACTTCTTGCCGCGCAGCAGCCCCGCCAGCACCACCCACTTGGGCTGCTTGCATCGCAGCGCCGCGGCCACCATCTCGTCCCGCATGCGCTGGAAAGTGCGCACACTGCGGCAGGGAGGTAGAAGGCAGGGAAGAAGGGAGGGGAGCAGGGGGTGGTGGGGTGGATGGGGGCCAGCGAGGGGGATGACAGCAGGGAGCAGGCGTTGGGTGGGACCCCTGCTGCTGGTGGGCTCCGTGCACCGGTCTCCATGCACCACCGCCAGCCACCGACCGCTGACCAGCCAAACAGCGGCGGGCGCTCACGACAGCCGTGGAATCCACTCCTTGCCGCACACGCACGACGTGCACCAGTCCGCCGACGCCGCGCAGAGCTCAGCAGAGGCCAGGCCGCCCGGCGGCGAGAAAGCCCAGCACCTAAGGGGGGCGGCCAAGGGCAGGCAGGGGCGGTCAAGCGGCCGGTAGGCGCAAGGGAGGGTCAGGGAAGGGGCTGCAAGGCGTCGGCGTCGGCGTCGGCGCGCCCCTGTGAAGCGTCGCATCACGAGGCAAGCCACACCCGGGCGGCTGCACCAGCCCTGCTGGCTGCTCGCCGGCTCCACACCCTGCCGGACGGCCCTCACCGCAGGTCTGGGCAGAAGTGGCGGAGGTAGAGCGACAGCAGGTAGGCGCAGCCCGCTCCCAGGGAGTGCCCAGTCACCACCAGCTGCCAGCCGTGGCAGCGCCCGTCGGCGGCCAGCAGCACGTCCCGCAGCACGCCCTGGCTCTGGATGTCCAGAAAGGTGGCCCGCGCGGCCTCCAGGATGCCGGCGTGGGCGGCGTAGCGAGTGTCGGCGCCTGCGCCCCAAGCGAGGACACGTGTGCATGCGTGTGTTGAGTGCACGTGTGGTATGGGAGATGTGTGGGAGGGCAGCAGGGTGGCGCAGGGGTGGCAGGAGACTCAGGCACTGAAATCACGGCACAGGCGTGCATGTATCCAAGTGGCGCACAGAGAGCTTGTTCTCACTGGCGGGGCGCAGGTCTGGGGGCGGGTCCTCCCAGCGCCGCCCCCCGGGCACCACCCACTCATCCAGGGAGGCGGGCTCAAACAGCAGGTCCCGCACCACATCCTCTAGGCTGAGGGAGCCTGCGGCGCCAGGATGCAGAGGGGGGGGCGCAGCGGCAGGAGGTGAGGAGCGCAGGAAGCCAGAACAGTGGCACAAGGGGCACACAGGGGCAGCCGGTCCTCCGACAGCCCTATGCACCAGCCAGCCACCCACCCACCACCACCACTGCCGTCGATGCATCGCCAGAAGGGCATGCCAGGCGGCGCACCTCGTATGGCCAGCACCAGGCTGCGGTTGGGCTCGTCGATGGCGAGGAAGTAGGGCAGTACGTGCGGCGCCTCCCCCTCGTACCGCACATCCAGCAGGTCGCTGTCAGCCAGCCCCGCCGCCTGCACGCAGCGCGCAGGCCAGGGCGGTGCCTCGCATTTGCATGCCGCCTCCCCGCAGCAGCCAGCAGGGATAATCTATACATCATCCCACATGATGCATGGCGTGTCGGTTACATTTAGTGTGCCCCGCCTGTCCACAGCCTCGCCTGCTGCGTGGCCTCCCGATTTAGGTTGTGCACCAGCCGCAGGTCCAGCTTCTTGCGCACCCGCCGCCCGTTGGCGGTGCCCACCAGCAGGCCGCAGTTGCGCCCACACAGCAGCTGCAGGCAGCCCATGCTGCGGCGGGGAGGGAGGCGGGGAGGCACCCAGCACGGGGCTTCAGGCCGCGCGAGGCAGCCGTGGTGCAGGCTGTCTGCTGACAGCGCACGCAAGCTGGCACAGCAGCGAGGCGGCGGGCACGCTGGCATGCCGCAAAGAGAGGGCCAGCACAGCTTGGCCTGCCCGGCGCCTTCGCTCACGTGGGGGCCGAAAAGATGAAGAGCAGGTAGCCGTAGCCGGCAAAGGCAAACTTCATGGCCCAGGCCGCCTGCCGCAGCGTCTCTGCACGGCAGGGGCACACAGCAGGCACGGCGCAGCGGGTGGGGATGCTGGGCACGGCGCAGCAGCCAGCAGGCGCAGAGCACTAGGCTGCAGTCAGGCAAGACGGCAGCGCAACAGGCTGGCGGAGCGGCAGCGGAAGCAGCGTCCACGCACCTGCATCCACGAGGCCCACCTCCTCGGCGTAGCTCTGCCCCTGCCCCAGCGCCGCACCCTCCCCATCCCCCTCCTCGAGCTTCTCCGCCCCCAATTGCAGGTTGCCGTCCTGGGGGTGCGCAGGCGAGAAGTGCGATATGTGGCGCAGCTCCTCTGGGGTCAGGTCTGGAGGGGCTGGGCGCCCGGCGGTGGCGGCCCCGCCGCTGCTGCTGATCTGGGTGTGCAGCAGGCGCTTCTGGCTGAGGCCCAGAAGGCTGCGCTCCAGGTCGGGAGCGCTGCCGCGCGACAGCAGCTCATCCGCGCTGCACACGCTGGCGGTGGCGGTACGGTCGGGGCTGTTCTGGGCGGACAGCTGGACCGTACTGCCCCCGCGCGGCGTGCCGGCGGCCCGCGGGGACGAGCCCCGCGGCTGCGCACCAGGCTGCTGCTGCTGCTGCTGCTGCTGCTGTAGGGCGGCGTGCCCGCCAGCCCCCGCGCCACCGGCCGCTCGTGCCGCCGCCTGGGCCGCCAGGGCGGCCGCCTTGCGCCGCTTGCGGTGCATGCGCTGCAGCACCATGGCCAGGGTGAAGGCCAGGAACATGTCAGTGGCGCTGAGGTCGATGTGGGAGAAGAGCTGCAGGGCAGGGGGTGCGAGAGGGGAGGGGAGGCGGCATGGGAGGGCGTATGGGGCTCAGAGGCTGCTGCCAAACAGGGCCAGCACAGCAAGGCAGGCTGGCTGGATGGCAGCTGGCGCATGGGGCCGTCACATGCATGCATGCCGAGGGCGGCAGGACGCCGCCACCCGCGACCCACCGTGGCAAAGATGTTGCCGAGGCGGGAGGTGACGCGCTGCGGCTTGCCCTCGGCATCCGTGTACAGCTGGTCCCGGCGGTGGCAGCAGCAGCACAGCGTGCCCAGGCAGTTGCAGCGCCGCTCCCAGGAGCGCGGGTCTGCGGCAGGAGGTGAAGGCGGCGGGGGCAGAGGGCAGGAGGCGGGTGACGCACAGCGGTACAACACTTCGGAATGCAAAAACACAGGAGCCTGCACCACAAGCACGCTCCCAGTGTCGGCCCTGCAGCCTTACCGCTGTAGTCTGGGAACAGGTTGTACGTGAGCACCAGGAGTAGGAGCAAGGCGGAGATGACGGCCCAGGTGCACCACACCAGGGCCAGCATCGCGTCAAACGGGTCCCACAGCTGCCCCGACTCGCACTGCGGCCGCTGCTTGTCGTACAGCAGGTATGTGCCGTAGCCGTTGAAGGCCACCTAAGGGTGCAGTGTGGTGGGGGTGGGGGTGGGAC